CCTCTAGCGGACACTGGAGGTGATTGCAGGGACGGCGGCCCCGGTCGCACACCCTCGGGTCGGTGTTTCTATGTGTCATTCGGCCCCTCTGTACCGATCCCCGGGTGGTTGCAGAGAAGGATGACAGTTCGGGAAGGGAGGGGGAGGGGGGTGATGATGCAACGAGAGGAATGAGACTCCGGAGGGAGGGGGCGTGGCTGTGTGTTGCACAAGTGCGGGGGCGGGGCGATGGTGCGGTAGGAGGCGGAGGATTGGATGGTCGGTGTCTGATTGTGCCGGGTGTTGGGGCTCCGCTGACACAGATGCAGGCAGGACGCCGTACACGCCGCATCTCTGCTGAGTGATCGGGGCCCCGGGGACACGTGGATGCCGCTCCGGGCCCGCTGAGCCCCCCCTCCTCCTTCTTCACACCAGACATGTTCGCCAACGTGCAGAGCCGGCCGGGGGCCCCCCGCATGGCCCCGTGTAGGGCCCATCACCCCAAGAGGCTGGAGAGCGACGAGCCCCCCGCCAAGTGTGCCCGGCTCAGCGACGTCCCCCCAGACGGCGGCCTCCTGCCTTCCCCGGGATCCCCGCACCCGCCGTCTCCGCACAGCGCCGACCCCCAGCACACCGGACCCTCCTGTATAGGGAGCTACCTGCTGCTGCCCGCCGGGGACCGGGACAACGTGGCGGCCAGAGCCCTCCACCTGCACACCGGACACCAGCTACAGTGCAAGGTGAGCCCCACCGGACCCGGCCCATCCTAGGACGCGGAAGGCTTCTATCCGGGGACCGGGGGGCACCTGGAGGCTCAAGGGAAGCCCCTTATCTGCAGGGCTACAGGGGCCCCAGGATTGCCAGGACCCCGGTCTGTCGGGTCTTCGGGTCATTGCCAGGATGTCGGGTGGGTGGGGGTTCATCAGGATTGCCAGGACCCCCAGTCTGTCGGGTCTTCATAGACATGACCCCATACACCTACAGGGGCCCCAAGATTGGCATGACTCCAGTCTGTAGAGCCTTCATATTTAGGGGTTCACCAGGATCCCAATCTATATCTACAGGATCTTCATAGACATGGGGGCACCAGGATTGGCATGACCTCAGTCTGTAGTCTGCAAGGTCTTCACAGGGGACACTAGGATCAACCGGACCCCAGTCTGTAGGGTCTCCATAGATGAGAACACAAGGCTTGGCTGCAGGGTCTTCATAGGGGAACACCAGAATCTACTGGACCGTAGTCTGCAGGGTCTTCATATATATGACCACAGCCTTTACCTGCAGGGTTTATGGGAACGCCAGGATTGACATGACCCTAGTCTATATTTATTCTGCAGGTTCTTCATAGATATGGAGATACCAGGATTCTAATGATCCTCATCTATAGTCTGCATGGTCTTCATAGACATGACCCCAGACTGTTACCTATGTAGTCTATGGGAACATACAGGGTTGGCATGACCCTAGTCTATGATCTGCAGGGTCTTCGTAGATGTGGGAACACCAGGATTGGAATGACTATGGTCTGTAGGGTCTTCAAAGGCATCAACCTTGTCTGTGTTGTGGTTGTTCATAGCTAGGATCACAAAGTTTCACCTGCATCTTCTATGTGAATGCTAGGATTGTCATGACCCTCGCATATTTTGCTGGGTCTTCATAGACATGACCACAGCCGTTCACCTGCAGAGACTATGGGAACACCAGGTTTGGAGTGGCACTAGTCCATAGAATGCAGGGTCTTCATAGACATGACCCCCACACTGTTATCTGTAGTGTCTAGGAGAACCCCCCGTGTTTTGGCATTACTTTAGTCTGTAGTCTGCAGGATCTTCCATAGACATGATCCCAGTCTGTTACTTGCAGGGTCTATGGGAACACCAGGATTGGTATGACCCTAGTCTATAGGTCTTGGAAAGTCATGATCTCAGCCTGTGTGTAGGATCTATTGAAACATCAAAATTCCTAGTGTATAGCCTGAAAAACCTTGGGAAGACCCGATCCTAGCTGCAAGTCTAAGGGAGCTCCATGATTGTAGAGACTGTCTGCTGGGTCTTGGAAAGGCATTACCTCAGCCTGTTGCTGCAGAGTCTAGGGGAGCCCCAGGATTGGCAAAATGCTAGTCTGTAGTCTGCAGGTTCTTCCATTCCATAGATATGAGCCCAGCTTGTTATCTGCAAGCTCAAGAAGAACCCCAGGATTGGGAAGAAAATAGTTTGCAGGGTTTTGATTGGGTATGACCCCAGCATATTATTTGCAGGGTCTTAGGGAGCCCTGGAGGGAGATCGCAGCCCCAGCCTTTTGTCTGCTGGGTCTTGTGTATTTCTAGTGTAGGCATGACCCCAGCCTTTTGTCTGCTGGTTCTTTGAAAACCTTCAGGATAGGGCAACCTTTTGTCTGCAGAGCCTCGGGGAGCCCCTGGGTAGAGATGACCCCCAGAATATTTGAGGGTTTGGCAGAATCCCAAGATAGTGAGGACCTTATCCTGCTATTTGTAGGATCTTTAGGGTCCTCAAGCCTTGAGTGATGCCATGTAGTTTGCAGGCTTTAAGGGAACCCCACGTCAAGGATGACCCCAGTGTGCCTTCTGCACTATATAAGGAAACCCCAGGGTTATCATCATGTTGTCTGTAGTCCTAGGGCTAGCTAGCGAATGTCCATCTTTTACCATGATTTATAGTCTGTTGATTCCAGGAGCTCTGGTCAGTAGTGTCTGTTGTCAGTGTTGTAGGGTGCTTGCTGTAGCCTTCAATAACTCAGCCTTTTGTCTGCAATGCCTGTTATGAGTGACCTCCGTATGCTGTCTCGGGGGATAGCTGCAGACAAGACCGATAACCCTAGCCCTGTGTGTACTGGTGGGCTCAAAGTCTGGGCTATCTCTATAGTGGAGACATTGTGCAAGGAAGATGTCAATCTATTGTCTGCATCTTCCAGAGGGACCCTAAAGTTTCCTTCCATAGTACCACAGCACATTGCTATTGTCCTGGGGACACCTAAGCAAGGCTTACCCTTCCTTTGTTTCTTTGGGAGACCAAGAACACCCAACCCCCCCTCCTTCTTTTTTTTTTTTTTTTTTTTTTTGTCTGCAGTCTCGGAAGCAGAGGAGGGAGTGATGGAGACCCTGTTCTGTGTTTTGGAGCAGAAGGCACAAGGAGAAAGCAGCATTGTCTGCAGTGTTTGAGTTTTCACCGATGGGATCTGACAGACCCACTTATTGTGTCTTGAAAGCTCATTCTATTGTTACATTTAGTCTGATGCTTGATGGTCTCTAGGGCCCCTACTCTGCTTCCTGTCTTGCCCCAAGGGCTCCTCTGTATTATATTGCATGTGGTTTCTCAGGAGACCTAGTTGCATCCCGCATGATCCCCAGAGCTCCCTGTTTGAACACTTCCAACTAAGTGATTGCTTCCCTAAGGGCATCAGCTCCATTCCTCCAAGAAAGACAGCAGGCTATTTTTAAATTGGCACCAGTTACCCCCTTCCCGTCCTCTGCAGCGCACTGGTACGGCAGAGGGACTACAAGCCCTGTGAGGTCCTTCAAACACTTTGCCAGGACCCAATTTTCAATGTGATTGCATTGTACTAGAGAGACTTGCATGACATTACAGCAGACGGAGCCGTTACCTTATCTGCCCCACAGCTTAGAGAAGACGTAGCCTATTAATGTGCCCACGGAAACCCCATGTACTGTTTGCTAAACTTGATAAATGGAGAATTCTATTGGCCAGGATTAGAAGGGTTTTGGGGCTTATTTGATTATCCGTCATCAGATAGGCAAAGTCAAATAACCTAGCGTGATCAGATGTTGTCTTTGGGGTCTTTTGAAATGACGCCTGGTTTTCAAAGGACTAAATCATGAATTACACTGCTTTGTAGACCAAGTGAAGAAAGTTAGACAATGCGGTTACCCTTGGCAGCCAATCAGAAATGATGTCTTGCTGATCTATGTGGCTGTTTTCAATATGTTTATTCCCTTAGCTGAACATATAGTTGGATTGAACCTGCTATTCTAGACAGCTATGAGATGTGAACATATTGCGATGCTGTGTCAGTAGGTCGGGTAATAATTGCGCTGACAGTTCATCGGTTTCTGTAATTTAATTTCCACCCTCCCTTTCCTTCTACATTGGAACTGACATGATCGCATTCTTTCACAAATGTCTCATTTTGCAGATTTTTAATTGGACTAGACAGGTTACGTCAATGCTGAGCTCTCCCATGTAACCTTAATACGGCTTTGTGTATTTTGCTGCTGCCCTCTGCTGCTTCTAGTGAGTGACGGGAGAATTTATTGATGGTCGTTCCAACAGGCATAAAAAGCCGCAGAAACGAGAGCTTACCACTTCTGAATAGGCGATGTAAAAATAGGCCACGGTTTTGCTGGGGCTGGTGTAGTGTGCTTGTTTTGCTTTGCACATAATCTCTTAGCATATGGTTTGCATGTCCTAGTTTAGCCTATTACTGACCTATTTAGCCCGTGGATCTTCATCTGTGGTGGGACTACAAGGCCCCCTCAACATGCTGGAAGTTGTAGTACCGCAACAGCTGATGATCTACAAGATGTGCGCTCATTATATTTCTCTTTAGATTGACCAACAGCTGTCAAGTGCAATGGTTTATCTGAGCAATCCAAGTCAGATTGTTCCCTATGGCTACATCGTGGCTTCTCAACCAGGATTCCATGGAACACTAGGGTTCCTTCAGAGTTTGCTAGGGGTTCCTTGAGCAATTTCTGGCTCTCGGATAAGTTCCCACTGACACCATTGATCTTCTTAGCTCTCTGTAAGCGTGTAATTCTTCCCAATGTCCACAGGTGTAAGGAGCATTCTTCCTGTTGAGCTTCACACTAATGTATCATGAGTTGTAGATATAATCATTATTAGCAGGGGTTCCCTGAGACCAGAAAGTTGTTTGTGTTGGGAAAGGCTGTGCTGCATCGTTGTTGGTCAACCTAAAGATATTGTCAGAATGTAAAAGTATGTTGGTCCAAGGATTTGGCATTTGAATTACATCTTATATTTTTGCTTCCTTTGCAGGTTTTTCCCTTGAAGGACTACCAGCACAAGATCCAGCCTTACATCCACCTCCCCTGGCATCGAAACATTACCGGGATTGTGGAAGTCATCCAAGGAGAGAGCAAGGCTTACGTGTTTTTCGAAAAGGAGTACGGTGACATGCACTCTTATGTGCGCAGCTGCAAGAGGCTGAGCGAAGAGCAGGCCGCCAAACTCTTTAAGCAAATCATCAGTGCGGTCTCCCACTGTCATCAGTCTAATATTGTCCTGGGTGACCTGAAACTGAGGAAGTTCGTGTTTTCTGACAAAGAAAGGTGAGGAAGGAATCTGAGTTAAAGGCTAACAGACTTGATGCATGACGGATGCCATTTTTGCTTTTTGTTAGTTTTACTATAAACAAGACTAATAGAATGGAGAAGAGAATTCCAGATCATAAGGGCTGTTTGAGATAAATCTTATAGCTATGTGTTGGATGAGTATATAGGTGAGGAGGACATTAATAGGTCAGGGGAGGAAGCGCTGAGAGCACTTTGGCTCAGACACAAAGAATGCCAGTGAGGCCACCAGTTAAGCATGGCTTGACCATTTCTGTTGCTTTTGTCTAAATTCATAGGCCTAGTCATATCGGCTTACAAAATGACCCCTCCTAATAAGGTGATACACGTGTCCTCAGAACATTTTGAGGTATAAACAGTCCTACCGTTGTGCAAGGCATTGTTACGAAAAATTTTTCCTAGCTTCGATATTAAGTAATCTGTTAATGTTCAACCAGCCGGACACTTACGACCTCAGAGCTGTCACATACAGCCACATCAGGGCCCAGATTCAACCCCAACTCCATCTTGCCTCCAAATATTGATATTTCCATTAGCCTTTGTTTGTTTTGTGTGTTTACAGTCGCAATGCTCTCAGCAGATAGGACTAGAGCGGACTGGCCCCCTGCCCAGTCCATGCGATACAAACAGAAGCAAAGCAGTGGTTGTTGATGGGAAAAGAATAGCATTGATACAGCGATAGGAAAGTTGTGTACGCGTGACATTGTATAAAGCTTGTAGTGTGTTGAACAGTGATGTTCGTAGTTGATCTCTGTCCCAGCTGATCTTGATATATCAGGGAACTCAAAGAATAAAGAGAAATTAGCCTGAACTTTAATGGGATGGTCCACCAGAAATTATTTTCATGTTGTAGATCAGGGTTCCTCCAAAGGTTTCTAGGGGTTCCTTGGGAAATGAACAATTTCTGCCTCTCAGATAAATTCCCACTGACACCAGTGATCTTTTTAGCTTTCTGTAAGGGGGTAATTCCTACAAATTTAAGGAGCATTCTTCCCACAGACCAACACACTAATGTATTAGGAGTTATACATAAGTAATAGTAATTTATAGAATGGGTTCCCTGAGACTGGAAAGTTATTTCAAGGGTTCCTCTGTGTTGAAAAGGTTAAGATTGGCTGTTGTAGATACTGGAAAGTTAGGCCAACTGATGGAGACCTGTTTTGTTTCTGGGTCTGTGCTCATTATAATGGGTTTCTATTCTCCATGATTGGTTTTATTTTTATTATAAAATGGAGAATGTGACAGGAGAACCTGGAACACCCAAACCTACCAGATGGATAGAAAACGTCAGGAACTATAGCTGGGAGATCTCTCCATTGAGGTGTGCAAAATGTATAAGGAAGTCATGGGTTTCCTTTTTATATTTTAAAACTAAAATATTTAATGTAGACTGACCCTTAAATAAGTCAGTTGTTTGTTAGATCTGAGGATGCTGTATTGCCAAATTTGTATTGGTTTGTTATGGACAGACCAATGTTATCCATATTATATCTTCTTTCTAAAATGGCTAAGCATGGAGAATAGAGTATTGTACCATGCTGGCTATTGATTAATGCAGAAAGTTTGAAGTTTAAATGATTCCCTTTATTGGCTTACTTATTAAAGATCCAAGATTTCAGAATGCCTCAGATCCCTTTGTCAGGCTTTATACTAAAATGCATAAGATCTGAGGCATCCCGAAAACTTGCATCTTTAATAACCTAAGTGGGCCAATAAAAGGGTATCTCTAAAACGTCAACTTTGCTGCATTAAACAGCTGATAAAAGCAGCAAAAGTGCCACAAGGACCATTAACTTGTAACCACAACCACCTTTCTATAGCTTGGGATCAATGAAGACCAGAATTATTTTACAGGTTTCTGCACACCATTCACCACCCTTGCTAATGGGCCACGCAATATAAATGGCATGGTTATTTGAAGACCATTATTGCACAATCATTTTAATGGTTTAAAAAAGTTTTCCAAAGCAAGATACTTTAAAATGAGTAACTTTGGAAGGAGCGTAGTTTCCCAGCACAGCGGACATCCTGTCTGTTGATCCCGTAGAGGAATGTTAGCAGCTGTCACTTTGCCATCTCCACTTGTTTGCAGTGGCAGCTAACTGTGCAGCAGTAGGTTGTATAGGGAAGTTGTCCTTCTCTGTGTAGGTGTCAGGACTTTTACATATAGGCAATTGTGTATATTACTAGAAGGACTTTCACATAATACAACTTTGATCATTTATTTCCCTTTAGACCTAGCATTAGTATGGCCCATTAATCTGCCTATGGCGCAGGAATATATTTCTTGCAAGTCCGTCTCAAGCCCTCAGGAGATATAGGATGCCAATCGAGATGCTCCTCTGGGATGCAACCACAAAGCTGATTTGGGATGGCTTTGGTCTTTAGGGGCTCATGCACATTGGTAGTTTGGGTGGTATAGCCTATAAAAAGGGTGCGTTTTTGGGCGAAACAGGGGCTGCGTATATTCTCAATGAAAGGCTGAAATATGCTTTGGTTGTACACTGTTCTGAATGTTATTCCTTATACAAGATGGTATGCTTGCAGGGACGTATGCCTAGAATGTGGACTTCGGCATTCAGGGCATACCTCCCCGTATGCATATGGCCTTGTACACTGTACCACTTGGAACCGCCTACAACCGCTGCGTATTTCAGGCTGTCGTTGATTTTGGCAGGCGGCTGGCTACAGGGATTATGCTGCACCAATGGTCCATGGTGTCCAAATCACCGGTGTGCATGAGGGCTTTGGGCTGAGCATTAATCCATGCATAGCAGGACTCAAATCTCTTGTGTGTACTTCAATCACTCAGTCTGGACAGATGCCACTCAACATACGGAGAACAAAATTCATAGAGTAGCTCCTATTTCTTCAAACTGGCCCTCAGCCACTTAACGTATGTGGGCCGTTTTATATACATTATAATCAATGATGTATGGCAGTAGGTATAACATCCTTGGCCAAAAAAAACCCTGCTAGCTCTGAAATAAATTCTGATTTGCGCTGTTCCATCTGAGATATTTACAAGCGTCACGTCACTGGAATGTTAACTGGTGGAAGGGAGCGAGGAGCCAAGAGCGGTAGAGGAGGGGGGTGGGCGGTACAAGGCTGTGGTCGCGGCTGTGAGTTCAGAGCTTGGTTTTGGACTCCATGCCAATTGGATATTTAAATGCCACTTTTTATAGCCATACATAGCGCCATGTCCTGGTGGGCCCTTTTAAAACCGGCACATGCAGCAGGAGAAGACCAGATTAGGGAAAATGCTAAGAATTTAGAGGATGCTTCTTTAAATCTAAAATAGCTCGGAAGTGTTAATGCATCAATATTCCGAAACTCTATGGAGGCTCCAAAATTCTTTAGGAAAGATGGTATTTCAGTGTCTTCCCTACACGCCGGTATACATGCAATCATTTTTTTTATTTGCGTAATGGAAAGTATACATTTTTGGGAAATATTCAGTTTCAGGCAGCTGTGAGAGTATCCTTTCCGTGCGTCAGGAATTGGTCAGCAGGGGGTTAAGTGATATGTGGCAGGCGCAGGTGCAAAGTTTTTACTGTCACACCAGCCGGTTGCTGCCAGACGGTAGAGTGGCTTGAGTCACTTTTTCCGTCCTCTGTACCACAGCTACTTTGCATTACAAGAGTTCATGTTGAGGACAGAAAAGGGAACGCATTATACCCCTCGCGGCCTGAGCGTAAAAAAAAAAAAAAAAAAAAAGTGTGCTGTGTAGCCCTTCAATCTCCTCCGGCTTTTAACATAAATTATATTGTTGGTTTTATATGCCAGGATAACTTACAATTTAGGTCTGCTGGTTGTTGAATTGAGGTGGTTATTTGAGGAAAGCACACACTACGGCTTTTTTTTTTATTCCCAGCGCTTTAGAGATTTGAAGGCATATAATTTGGTTTGTAAATGATAGCGATTTTATGTTTTTTGGCATTTGAGATTTTTGTTAATTTTATGCTGGTTTCCAAGAGGAAAAGAAGACACAAATGTGTTAGATGTCTATGCTGAAAATGTTAAATTTTAAGTTTCCCATTGGAAAACTCAAGAGCTTCTGCCAATGTAACAAAGTCAACTGGAAGGGTGTCAGTCAGTCTTTTTACTGCTGTGCCATTTATGTTCCCATGCTGTTAATTGCAGTTTAATGGTGGCTGATGTGTTTTTTTTTTTTTTTTTTTTTTTTTTTTGTTTAAAAGCTCAATATTAAACCTTTTTTATTTTTTTTCTGTTCTCAGGACTCAGCTGAGGTTGGAAAGCTTGGAAGATGCTCACATTATGAAAGGAGAGGACGATGCTTTGTCTGACAAACATGGATGCCCGGCTTACGTCAGCCCGGAGATCCTCAACACCACAGGGACTTATTCTGGGAGGTCGGCTGACGTCTGGAGCTTGGGCGTCATGCTTTTCACTCTCTTGGTTGGACGTTATCCTTTTCATGATTCGGACCCCAGCTCACTCTTCTCCAAAATCCGCCGTGGACAATTTTGCATCCCTGACCATGTCTCCCCAAAAGCTAGGTGCCTTATCCGAAGCCTACTGAGACGGGAGCCCTCCGAGAGACTCACGGCAGAGGAAATTTTATTACATCCCTGGTTCGAAGCTGCCTCTCACCCTGGCTTAGCCGATCAGGAACCTAGCAACACTGACCAGCTTGTACCTGATGTTCCACAGACTTGTGATGACATTGATTCCTTCTTCTGCTAGCTCCTCCTGACCTACAGACTATTGTCTTTATATTGACCAGATCTGGGACTTGCAGGAAGCCTGTGAGCCCTGGCAGCTGTGGTGTGGACAATCTCGTATGTTATAGAAACATACCATTCTGAGTTTGCCAACAATTATCCTATTGCAAAAGCTTATACCTTGGTCGCCAAGAATCATCTAGGATCATTCTTGGGTCCATCTAGGTCTGTTCTGTAAGGCAGCGCAAAGGACGGTTGGTTGCTCTGGGCTACTGCATTTTGCCCACTACAAGCTAATTACGATCTTACTAGAATAAACTGAAATTTTGGTTGCAAAGGGGCTCTTGGAATTTTGAACAGCATTTGCACTGCCTTATTGAATAACCCCAATATGTTTGGTGCAGAGGGAATATAATGTGTTAAATCATTGCTGTGTTTTTGAAGGATTTTACAACTCTCACAAAATGTTTTTTCTTTTCTACCCAGTTAATACTGGGTCTTTGGTTTAACTGCATGGACAGTTTGTGGTCGTTATGCCCTGCATCTATTGGGGAACGGCAGTGCTCAGTCAGTATTTAATAACACAATGGGCTCTGATCAGTGGAAGACAGTCAGCAACGGTCCCCTGTCCAGAAATAATTGGGCCCCCCTATTTGGTAGGAGCCCCAGGACCCTGAGAAGCCTCAATTTGCCTGCACACAATACACCGCTGATATGTTCTCCACGGGCTTCCATAGTGCAAAGATCTCATTCAGGCCTGAGCGATTTGCAGTGTTGAGCCTTTAAGCCTTTTCAGGAAACCTCAAAATTCCCATCATATTCAATGGTGCCCATTCCCACATGAGCATCGTGTTGCTTGCATAAGTACATGTGCTTCATTGGGGCAGAGATGTGTGGTTTTGGCCTCTATGGACTTTTGAGCTGAAAATGCACAATTTCTTGCGTCTCATTCTAGTAACTATCTTTCCATTGGCTAAAGCAAAATGAGCCTTAAAACGCATGAAGAATCCCACAAAGAAAAAAGGCTCAAAACTTGCCTGAAAATGCTTATGATCAAGTGTGAATGGGGTCAAACACTGCACCACTGGAAGCCCACCAGAAAGCATTCATGACTTTTTGTTTCCCCAATAAAATCAGGTGATTTTAATTACACCATTGGCTGGCTAAAGAACATTGGAAGAGGAGCTCATAGCAGCCAATCATATCCCAGCTGTCATTTTCCTAGAGACGCTTAGAAAATTAAAGCTAACTATTGATTGGTAGCTAGCAACAGCAGTAGTTTTCTTCATCGCTCTGTGTCATACCTGAACCCAGCGTGGCACACAAGCCTTGGTGTGATTAACTTGCTTGGGTTAACGGTTGGAAATGTGGCCGATTGGCCTATCTTGTTGATAATATAGCATTAAAGGGGTTAAGTGAGAAGAGTAGGCAGGTCCATTTAACCTCTACAGCACAAAAGAGTCAATGGCGTGTGCCAAACACTTGAAGAAAGAGTCGCACAATTTTCCTTGTGTTACCTTGACCATTTTAGATCGCCATAAATGGCCTCCAAAGGGAGAGTGTTGCATTGTGGGTTTTGTCCCTCCATTTCCTGCGCTGCTTTGGGACATTTTTTCCTTTGACACTGAAATATAGGTAGACTGTAATGTCCCACACCACAGTCTGGAAAGACCAATTACTCCCATCCAAGATGATTCCACCTTGGTCAGGTCTTCAAAGGGCTGGACCTCAGCAAGCCTTCACTCTAGTGAAAAGCACATATACCTCATGCTTTGTTGTGTATTTTATTTTTTTTTGGCCCACAGAGCCTTGCATTTCATACATTTTCAGTAATAAGTTACTTTTTTTTTTTTTTCTCTAAATCATTAGCACGGTCTACCTTTTTTTTTTTTTACTTGAAACAAATAGACCGTCTTCTTTTTCTATTGATCTTTAAAAGATACTAAAGCCAAAACGGTTCATTTTGGATAAAGTAAGGAGTTAAAGCCCCTGTCTGTCCTATTGGGAAGATTTCCCTTCACTTCCTGTTCCATTGCCAAAAAAGGAAGTGAGAGGAAATCTCTCCAAAGTGAGAGGAAATCTCTCCAAAGTGAGAGGAAATCTCTCCAAAGTGAGAGGAAATCTCTCCAAAGTGAGAGGAAATCTCTCCAAAGTGAGGGAAGTCCCTCAACAGAACTAGTGTCCCCGCTGGAAGATTTCCCTTCTGCTTTTGTTCTGGTGGCAACTCAATTTTGGATTCACTCTTGGTGAAGATGGTCAGCAGGGACCCAGGCATCAATCAAAAGATGTCAGGTGTTCTAATCGCTCTCCACTCTATCCAAACCTAAACAAAGTTTTGCTTTTAGTTGTAATTTAATTATGCAGAATACTGACGTGCTGCTCACCCTAGCGACCAATCAGAAGTTTTTTGTTGTTTTTTTTTCCAGTGACAGGAGTAAAAGCTGATATCTGATTGGGTCATGGGTTAACAGCTGTTTAGGCTCTGCTGCATTATTTTCTAAACAAGTCCATTATAAGCTGGTGCTTCACATCCTTGCCGCCATGACACTGTGCAAATACACACGCATGCCAGGCTCTGTTGGCAGTGAAGCCTTTTTGTTTGTTTTTTTTTTTCCTATTTCATTCGTGAAAACTGAAGATAAAACAAAACAAATCCCAATGTTAATTAGCAATTGTAATGTGAATAACTGTTGGCAAAAGCACCTGTCAAAGAGAGAGGAAAATCGTGAGAAGACATAGAGGTGCCAGAGCCTCCATTGCACTAACTGACTCGCGGTTGTTAAACTTGTATCTGTGATACGCTGTACATAGACTGTAAATACCGACAGTAAGCGTTTGCTGAAAACAGATTCGGGGAAAAAAAAACACTATGTTGTGTAAATATGTGGAAGAAAAAAGTCAGTTCTGTTAAATTTGTACAGTATATTGTAATAAATATTTTCTTTTTTATATATATCATTGTGTTGGCTTTGTTGGATGAAGGTCCTGGTTTTGGGGGCTTGTCTGGGAAACCTGTTCTGAGAGAAGTAGGGGGGCTGGTGTTGGCTGATCTAATGGATAGAATACGTTCTGCAGTACTGATCCATATGCGCTGTGAACCCGCTTCATAAAACTAAAGGTACTGCTTCAGGCTTCTCCGTCCCGGTCTGGTGACTCACACTATGGTGTCCGTTTATGACACAGAGAATAGCTGCGATTCAGAGGATCGTAGCTATTCTCTGGTCATTGACAGTTTATGACACTCAGGAGATCAGCGGGGAACATGTTCAGCTCTTCACTGGAGATCTGTGTTCTCCCTCCAGATTCTCCAGCCCAGAGCTGGAGAATCGGGGGAACCGCAAACTAGGCAGCGATAATTTACCTCTGTTTAGTAAACTGATCTTTTACTGTAATCTCGTGAAACTAGTAAAATCAGTTGTTCTCCCAGCGTTTGGAGACCGTTCTCCCCGTTTGGAGACCTCTCCCAGCGTTTGGAGAACTACTGCATAAAAGGCATTCACAGGAGACCTGTGTTCTCTGAGAATGCTGGAGAACTGAGCAGCGATCTGTTACTGCTGGTTCATAAAGAGTGCTGACTGGTTGGTGGTCACAGCTTCATGTACTAGGTAGGAGAAGAGACTGCCCTGAAACACTGCATACCAGCATAATCCAACAGCTGCCAGAGTAAACGCAGTCTCTGCCCAGGCCATGCCACTGATGCGTTTCACTCCACCCTTGGGGCTTCGTCATGGAGGTGGGCATTACTAAGTGCTATATATTCTCCCAGCCACATGGTATCCACACCTCCATGGCTAAGCTCTGTGGGTGGGGTGAAACGTGTCACATGTGGCTTGGACAGAGCTGGACTGAGGCTGCTTTTACTCTTTCGACTTTTTGGTTATGCTGGTGTGCGGCATTTGGGACATTCCCTTCTCACCGATCCATAGGCAGACCAAAAGTTTGGTCTCCAATATCTGCATGCTTGTTCTAGGTTAAAGAAGGTATTGTTGCCAATGGATTTATATGAAAGCCAGGCAATGGGCAGTTTAAGAAGGTCAGGCTTGATTAGTGCAGGTTTACTTTAGGTGGCCCTGGTGTCCAGCCTGTGGCCCCAGAGACACATGATGCCCTTTTTGTGTTTTGAAGTGTAGCCCAATTTCCCCAAGGCAGTTCATTGTAAAGGAGCCTCTTTTTTTTTAATAAGTTTTTAATAGAATATTTCATAAGTACAATATGTGACAAGTATATTGTTATGACTATACCACACCAATTACACACAAATCATACTAGACACAACATTTCTAACACAAAGCAAAAAAAAAAAGGGTGAAGCCAGAAGAATCCCTGGCAAAGGATGTTAAAAAACACATCTTTTATACACGTTGCCAATGGGACACCATATGCAAGAACAACCCACTTACTCAAAACTATAGCCTTTTGCCTCCAAATGGTTAGGGCATGCATATCAAAATAGGCAACAAATTCCAAGTATAGAAAATTGTGCAGATCAAGGTATACAGTACTCTTCCATTCAAAAAGCTATTCTATTCAAAAACTTTGAATGTGCCAAAGAGCCCTTTTGGGAATATTGAAACCGCAAGATGAGTTTCTTCAATTCGGTAGGTGTGAAGCAAATGTCCATGTATCTAAACTTTTTTTTTTTTTTTTTTTTTTTGAAGGGTCTCAATGGGTTTTTTTGGCTTGAAGGGCTGTGTAACAGCAGCATTCTCTTGCAATTTCATGTAATATGTCTCTATTCTGTGATTCCTGCGTCATGATTTTTGCCGCCCAACTATGCTAGTACAACAGTCTCTGACCATTTCCTCAAGTACTCTCCACTCGCCAGCCTGTTTTTTTAGGTACACCTTGCTAGTGCCAAGAAAATATCCCCCACACCATTACACCACCACCAGCCTAAACCATTGATACAAGGCCAGATGGATCCATGCTTTCATGTTGCTTATGTCACATAAAGACCCTACCATCTGAATGTCGCAGCAACCAGTCTGCCCATTCTCTCACATCAACAAAGCATTTCCATTT